TTGATGGGGGGAAACGGAGACTCATGTACTACTTTACACCAGCGGTCGCCAACCGGTGGTCCGCGGACAACTGGTGGTCCGTGAGGTCTGAAAGGTTGGCGACCGCTGCTTTAAACAATAATAATTTTTAAAAAGTACATAAACACTGCAGAAAACATCCCTTTACCTTGAAAATCCCTGCAGGCTGCTGCGGAAGTGGGCATTAGGGGTCTACGGCGCAGAGTGGAGGGAGGGGGTGTTGGTATCAGACAGAAAGGAGTACTTAACGCCACTAAACTGTACACGTGAAATGGTGACTTTTACCCAGGCCGGCGTGGCTCAGTGACTGAATGTCATTCTATGAACCAGGTGGTCACGGTTCGATTCCCGGTCGGGGCACATGCCTGGGTTGTGGGCTCCATCCCAAATGTGGGTTGTGCAGGAGGCAGCCGATCAATGATTCTCTCTCATCATGGGTATTTGTCTTTCTCTCCTTCTCCCTTCCTCTCTGAAATCACTAAAAATATATAGAGCAGCGGTCAATGCAGCCTCCATAGTCCTGCCCACGCTGCCCATCAAGATAACGAGACCAAGATAACGAGAGGGGGCAGCATCGCTTTCATCGGAGCTGCATTCATTTAGCGCTAATCCCAGCCATGAGCAGAGCGGTTCCCTTTCCGGACTTAACTGCCTGGACAGCGTCGCCACGCGTGGAGCTTGGGTGAGTTATGGGCCGCGGTGTCTCCACAGGAACCAGGCACCACGGTGAGCCTGCCAGCCCCTCTGGCCGGAGCCAGGGCTGCTCCTGTGCCAATTCAACGCTTGATCCTTAACAAAGAATATCAGTCCTGGGCTCCCCGGGAGGACCGGCCTTGGGAGCTGGGCCGCGAGGCTGTAGAGGGATCCCTGCTCCTGGGAGGTAGCGGCCAACGTCCGGCCAACCTGCCTTCCTGGCTGTGCCCGCAGCCTTGCCCTGGGCGCCAGGAAGAGCTGGCTTTCTCGGAACCTGGCCTCCATCCCATGTCTCTGCGCAGGCTGGTCCCTGGGCTCCAGGGCCTCTTTTTGTCTCATCGGCTCTCTGATGCCAACTGACCTTCCCCGGGGCCAGCCCCTCCATGGAATAGTTCTCATGTCCACAGCACACTTGGTCTCCCTCCCTTGATATTCTGTTTACAGCCCCAGGATAGCATTTTCACTATATGAGGCCTCAGCCCCTGCCCCAGACGGTAAATTTCTTGAGGACAAGGACCTTGAAGGTCACACAACTTAAGCACCCCACTCCTATTTTTCCCATTAATCGTTTTTGTTATCATTCTACTTACCTTTAAATTTTATTGATTTCAGAGAGGAACAGAGAGGGGGAGAGAGATAGAAACATCCATGATGAGAATCATTGATTGGCTGCCTCTTGCACACCCCACACTAGGGATCGAGCCCGAAACCCGAGCCTGTGCCCTGACTGGGAATCGAACCGTGACCTCCTGGTTCATTGGTTGACTTTCAACCACTGAGGCACGCCGGCTGGGCATTTAAATTTTATTTTTAGCTGTAACCGGTTTGGGTCAGTGGATAGAGCGTCAGCCTGTGGACTGAAAGGTCCCAGGTTCGATTCCGGTCAAGGGCATGTACCTTGGTTGTGGGCACATCCCCAGTGGGGGGTGTGCAGGAGGCAGCTGATCGATGTTTCTCTCTCATCGATGTTTCTAACTCTCTATCTCTCTCTCCCTTCCTCTCTGTAAAATCAATAAAATTTATTTTTTTAAATATATTTTATTTTTATAGGTGACATATATTAGTTGCAGGTGTACAACACAGTGACTCAACATTTACTTACCTGACCACCTGATCACCACAATCACCATAATCAGCCTCGTAGCCATCTGTCACCGTACACAGTTATTATAGTTTTATTGACTATATTCTCTATGCTGCACTTGACATCCCTGTGACTTATTTTATAACGGGAAGTTGTGCTTTTCTCCCCACTAATGCTTTGAAGAAGATGTACTTTCTTCAGGGGTACTTACCTCCCGGTCCTGGCACCAGGCGCTGCGGATAGGGTCTCCTCCATCCTCGGTCCCTGGTGGCTTAAGGACTCCCGTTCCTGAGACGGTAGGAACTCCACACAGTGGCGATGGTGGCCAGTGTTTTTCCGTGAACCGGGAAACAGGGCCTTTTGATTGCCTAGGGAGAAACAGGAAATCCAATTAAGAGGATCAAACAGAAAACAACACGTAGGTGTTTTCCTATGCCACCCAGCAGTTTTCTTTGCAGAAGAATTCAAAACCTTAGGCGTGTCTCTTACGGAGCGGAACTTTAAGGGGCAAAGATCAAGGCCATTTTGCCAAGCGGGGCATGTGGCACCTCGGAACTGAAGGGACCCCAGCCCCAGCTCTGCTTCAGAAGGCGGGCATCTAAGCCAGCGGGTCTAAGGGGCAGCTTTCTCCCCTGTGGCCCCAGCGAGGGAGGCCCTACACTTTGGCAATGCAACCCATTTGTCACATCACCGTGGTGATGGTGAGGAAGTGTCTCCTTGGGCCTAGACGTCCCGTTCGTGACCGCCTCTGTGGACATGTGGTTTCTGGGAACGCAAGCACAAGGGCGAGGGTGATCCATGGTCTCCGGTGAGCAGGGAACGTGCAGATTTCTAGGGAAAACCAGCTAAGATGGCCATCAGAGTGGGACATTCTCTAAGCCAGCGGTTCTCAACCTGTGGGTCGCGACCCCTTTGGCGGTCGAACGACCCTTTCACAGCGGTCGCCTAAGACCATCCTGCATATCAGATATTTACATGACGATTCATAACAGTAGCAACATTACAGTTATGAAGTAGCAACGAAAATAATTTTATGGTTGGGTCACAACATGAGGAACTGTATTTAAAGGGCCAGAAGGTTGAGAACCACTGATTTAGATATTTCCATGACGATTCATCACAGTAGCAACATGACAGTGATGTAGCAACGAAAATAATGTTATGGTTGGGTCACAACATGAGGAACCGTATTTAAAGGGCCAGAAGGTTGAGAACCACTGCTCTAAGCGGTATGGCTGGGTAAGTTATGGCTGGTTAGGCGTCACTGGGTAATTATGAGGTCTCAGATTTAGGGCCAGAAGGACCCTAAACGTTGAATAGGCGTCTAGTGCTTTCATTATTTTACAGAAAATTCCACTGGTGCTCAGAGAGGCCAAGCATTTGCGTAGGGCCATGCACCTATTAAACCGTGGAGCCAGCACTTGCATCCACCTGCAAACTCAGTTGTCACCTTCGATCTTTCAGAGAAATCGAATCCAGCGCGAGCCAGATCCAGAGCCTCAGAGGGTGCTCTGCGTCCGAGGTACCTGGAAAGGGAGCTGAATTGTGCATCTCGAACGAGCCTCCAGGTGGTACTGAGGCCGCTGGCTCCCTGACCACAGTTTGATGGTAAGGACTTAGGGACCTCTTCTCTGCAGGCCCTGCTCACTACTCGGGCTGCCCCGTTCTCCTGGGGTGCAGCACGACCAAGCTGCGCAACAATCACTTCTAAGAAGTGGGCCTTTGTCAAGACAGTCACCCCCAATTCTTCTCAGCCCCGAAGGGTAAAGGACTAGCGCTTGGGTGCAATTTCTCTCATTCCAGGACGGGCGCTTCTCCTGAAGACCAGCAGGGGGCGTACCAAAGGCGGGGGCTGAGGGGAGGAGCCCGCAGGAAGAGTCTGAGCTTCAGGGAATGGAGGTCAAGAGCTGCTCTCAGCCCCAGCTGGTTTGGCTCAGTGGATAGAGCATCAGCTTGCGGACTGAAGGTTCCCCTGTTCGATTCTGGTCAAGGGCACATGCCTGGGTATCTGGTCTTGATCCCCCAGTGTGGGGTGTGCAGGAGGTAGCCGATCAATATTTTTATTGATTTCAGAGAGGAAGGGAGAGGAAGAGAGAGAGAGAAACATCAATAATGAGAGAATCATTGATTGGCTGCCTCCTGCACACGCCCTACTGGGGATCAAGCCCGCAACCCGGACATGTGCCCTTGACCGGAATCAAACCTGGGACCCTTCAGTTGGCAGGCTGATGCTTTATCCACTGATCTAAACCAGCTAGGGTGATGTTTCTATCTCTTTCTCCCTCTCCCTTCCTCTCTGAAATTAATAAAAATATATATTTTTTTAAAAAGCTGCTCTAAGCGGAAGTTGGTCTTGCTTGCTTCTGTGTGGCGTGCACCCGGCGCTCCTGGCAGGCCGCCCACTCCTCAGGAGCCCGGGAGAGAGCATCATCCCTGAATTTCAAACCAGGGCAGCCTTGTCTCTTCTTCCTGGGCACGCGCCTTAGCATGTAGCCACCCCCGCCCCGTGCACCCTCGGGCTCTGTCTGTTGTTGCACAATTTTGATATTTTTAAAGGATCAAAATGACAACTGAGTTTGTAGCTGGCTTCAGACTCCAGCTCCACAAGGTAACAGACGCATGACCTTGAGTGTGTGCGCGCCCTCTGCCAGCACCAGTCCTCTCACCTGAACAACAGCAACCGTAACTGTTCTTACTGCCCCCAGGAAGCGTCACCGGGGGCATCTGAGGACACTCGGTCACTGATACATAAGCCTCCGTTACGTCTCGCTCGCTTAACGCATCGCGGACCAGTAGTTCTATTGCCAGCTTTACCCGGGGGCAGGTAAGTTTCTATTGAACGAGGACAAAAAACGTTTTACATAAATGCTAAAGGCACGCTTTAAAAATTAAATACCCATGGCATTTTGAAGTTAGTTACCACATGTTCTTACAAGCTAATATCTTTTTAAAGAATTCTCGTGATGGGCCACAAGCCTTAGAACAGAAACCACGAGAATTCTCGTGATCCGTCCACGTGTTAAGTAGACAGACATCTAGGCCAGTGGTCGGCAAACTCATTAGTCAACAGAGCCAAATATCAACAGTGCAACGATTGAAATTTCTTCTGAGAGCCAAATTTTTTAAACTTAAACTATATAGGTAGGTACATTGTTATTAACTTAATGAGGGTACTCCTAAGGCTTAGGAAGAGCCACACTCAAGGGGCCAAAGAGCCGCATGTGGCTCGTGAGCCGCAGTTTGCCAACCACGGATCTAGGCAATGGCACCTCACCCGGAATGTCTTCCTTTTAGAAACCACTGAAGGGGAACCGCGAGGGACGGACAGGGAATTGCTCGGCCCACGGCGGGGAGCTGGTGCTCCCCTGGTCGGCACCCCTGGGAAATTCTGTGCAAGCAACCCCGATGGTCTCCAGTACCTGCAGGAGGGTGTCCCCCAGAACCACAAGCACCAAGAACAGCAGCCGGAGGCCATGATGGTCTCAAGACAGGACGCTGAAAACCCAAATGAACGCTTCGTGAGCACCCAGTTTCAAAGCACCTGATGCAAAGAAAGAATTCCATCCGGGCGAGGATTGAAAACACACAACTAGCACCCCACGTTTAAAATCCCGGGGCCCGGCCGGCGTGGCTCAGTGGTTGAGCATCGACCTACGAAACAAGGAGGTCACAGTTCGATTACCGGTCAGGGCACGTGCCAGGGTTGTGGGCTCGATCCCCAGTGGGGAGCATGCAGGAGGCAGCTGACCGATGATTCTCCCTCATCATTGATGTTTCTAACTCTCTCCCCCTCTCTGTTCCTCTCTGAAATCAATAAAAATGTATTTGAAAAAAATATATTTTTTAAAATCCTTGGTGAGAGATAGCTCACCAAGGAATTGCGCATCTCGACCCGTCTTCGGGTTCAGGCACCAATATTCACAATTAGAGAATTAACACCGCGGGCTCTGCTAGCCTTCCCGAATGCAACGCGAACGCTGGTGCGTGGACGGGCAAAGCAAATTGCCAGGAAAGATGGGCAGCTGCAAGGTCAGAGCAGAGCAGCCAGGAGCTGGGGGTCCCAGATTGCATCCCTGAAAGTAATGACAGGGACAGTCTGCTAAGAACAGCACGAGAATCATTTGGATTGTGATGCAAGATGGAAGCAGCTGGGTGGGTGGAGGGACTGGGAAGAAAAACCCTATTAAACTGTGATCTGTCATACAGAGAGGATGGAAATGGGAGAAGAGATTAGCGAACACTTGAGAACCTTCCTGGCAGGGATCTGGAGCCTGAAGGCACCAAGAGGAACCTGGGGGAGGGGGGAAGGGGAGGGTATAAAATCAAGCCTGCTCTGCAGCTGTGGAGGAGGCAGAGAGGGCGGCAGGCCAGCAGGAGTGGCCCAGGGTCTCCGTGCCTGCTGGGTGCAGAGGAGGAAAGATGATCCCATTGGCTGCGCCCAGGGACCATGCGCAGGGCCAGGGAGGGCTGGGGCCCACACCCCTGCTGGAAGCACCGGTCCTGCCCGGTGCCCAGGTTCCGGGCCCCCAGGAAGGTGGCTGGAGCCCTGGAATCTGCCCTGGGCAGGCTGCCCGGGGCTGCTGAGCCCCATTCTGAGGGGGTGGAGTCAGCCAGAGACATGGCTCCGACTTCCTGTGGGTGTCACTGCCAGGATGCCTGGGATCCTGGCAAACGCATTGGGTTGGGCCCGGCCGGCGTGGCTCAGTGGTGCAGCGGCGACCTATGAACCAGGAGGTCAGGGTTCGATTCCCGGTCAGGGCACAGGCCCGGGTTGTGGGCTCGATCCCCAGTGGGGGGCGTGCAGGAGGCAGCCGATCAGCGATTCTCTCTCATCATTGATGTTTCCATCTCTCCCTTCCTCTCTGAAATCAATAAAAATATATTTTAAAAAAGAAAAAGCACTGGGCTGGGAGAGGGGAAACCTGGGCTCCAGCCCCCTCCGCCATCGTCTGGGTGCCCTGACAAGGCTGGTCCCTTGTCCTGTGTCTGCGTGTGTGCAATGTCGCGTGTGAGCTGGATGGGCCCGTAAAGTCTAATGAGACTTGCTGAGCGCGTGACGGCAGTCAGCCCCGGGCACACTCCTCCTAGGACAGTGGTTCTCAACCTTCTGGCCCTTTAAATACAGTTCCTCATGTGGTGACCCAACCATAACATTATTTTCGTTGCTACTTCATAACTGTCATGTTGCTACTGTGATGAATCGTCATGTAAATACCTGATAGGCAGGATGGTCTTAGGCAACCCTTGTGAAAGGGTCGTTCGACCACCAAAGGGGTCGCGACCCACAGGTTGAGAACCGCTGGGCTAGGAGCACCCTCGTCACCCTCCCTCTTGGCAAATGTGCACGTCTGTCAGAGAAGACGGTGAAAACATCTAGTGGGAAGTCATACGATCAATGTACCAATAAAATGAATCAATAAAATGGATCCATCTATACCCGGGCCTTAGGTAGAAAATCTACCTCTGTGCTCACCCCCCCTACACCCCCCCCCCAAGGATTTACTCTCAGAGGGGACTGCTTTGGGGGCAGATAATACTTTGCGGGTAGAAATCTCCTTCCCCGCTTTCCCTTCTCCCCATGCACTGCCCCCGGCCAGGTACGAGGCAGGACTATACCCAGAATGAGCTTGTGGGCTCTCCTGGCTTTGCTTTTCCCAACTTGGCCTTAGGCCAAGGACTCAGAGCTTTCCAGGAGGTGCAGGGAGGAAGGGAGGGGTGGAGGGACAGCCCGGAGGCTCCAAGAAACAGGAAGTGAAAGCAGGTCTGTGGGTCCCAGGAGGACAGGAGTTTGGCTGCGTGAGGAAGCAGGAGGGGGGGGGGAGTGGGGCAAGGGTGTGCTCACTGGCAATGCGCAGACCAGCCTCGTGAGCAAGATCTCCCCCCCCACCCCCGCTCTGCCCCAGGGCCTGACAATGCGTAACACCCACAAGGGACGCCAAAGGGCGGTACCGCAGTGGTTTCTAGTCCTGCCAGAGGCTTCAAACTAATGTTAAGTTGATAGCGAGACAAGAAAGGGAGAGGCGGGATTTCTTGCACACCTGAGCTGGTTGAGATGCATACGCTCTACCCTTTCATTTGCACGTTGGGTAACGTCTGGGCCTCCGTTGTGGTTCAGCTCCAGGCCCAGAGAAGCAACAAAACCAGCCACGGGCTGACGGCTGACGTCAGGAGCAGATGCAGGGAGTAACGACCCCTGCCTGGTGCCGGCCAATCAGAGGAGACCACAGCCCCGATGGACACACCTGGAAAGCCGCTGACTGTTCTACTGGGACCTCCCTGTAGTGCTTTCCCTGGGACCTCCCCTAAAATCTCTGCCCTTAAAACCCTTAGGACAGCCCTGGCTGGTGCGGCTCAGTGGACAGAGCGTCAGCCTGCGGACTGAAGGGTCCCAGGTTCGATTCCAGTCAAGGGCACATGCTTGGGTTGTGGGCTCAATTCCCAGTGTGGAGCATGCAGCCGGTCAATGATTCTCTTTCATCATTAATGTTTCTATCTCCCTCTCCCTTCCTCTCTGAAATCAATATATATAATTTTTTAAAATATATTTTATTGATTTTTCACAGAGAGGAAGGGAGAGGGATAGAGAGTTAGAAACATCGATGAGAGAGAAA